GCATTTTTTGGTGGTGGTAACATGATAGGTTATAATTTACTCCCACAGGTTTAAGCTTTGGCTTAGGGCAATAACCCTTCTCTTGATTCGGTTTGTTACATTCCAGTATACGACATAGAGATGGAACTAAGGATTCGACACCAACAACGTAGATTACAACCCCACACGGAAATCTCTAGTTTCTGCTGACGGTGTTTCCTTCATACCTCGATGTCTTATAACAATTTCATGGAGTACTAGGCATTAAAATTTTCGTATCATAGCGTCCTAATTTATAAAGATGGATATACCCTGGAAGGCAGGCATCCCAGGAAATTTAATTTGAAGGAAAGGTGCCCTTTGGAAAAATGGGTAAATTTATTCAGTAAATTTTTGACACTGGATCCCCAACTCGTGGTCTTTGCAAATTTTTCTCAAGTCTGACGACGATCTGGAGATCCGGTGTTTAAAATTTACCGAATAAATTTACTCAGTTTCCCGAAGGATGCCCTTCCTTGAAAGTTAGATACTTCGTCAGACTAAGTCCTATAGCTTTTATAACAGCAGTAATTCGGGAGGGCATTGAGACAACAATGTTGTCAATTGTGGTTTGGTCTATATAATTATTAAGGACGAACTGCAGTTTCTGTTCCATTGAAACATGTTTCGGAGGCTTTGCCCATTTTCGCTTGATTAAGGCGACGGGATTTTCAATGGGATTGAGGTCGGGACTGTTGTAAGGAATAAAAAGTTGTCGGCGGCCCGCAGACGAAAAGCGTGGCTGTAGTCTTAAAAATTAGATTATAGTCGTAACGTAAATTATAATCATACCTCTTTTGACCGGTGAGCAGGGGCATTGTCTTGTAGCATGAAAATATCCATTCGACGCCTGTGAATGCCACTATAACCAAAGCAATATTTGACGATTTTAACATATACGTGACTGCTAATTATATTTTTGTCGATTGCCAGATTGGTCGCTCACCGAACTTGATCATCATCCACACCATGGGGCGTCGATGGTTCTTGAATTTTGATTTCGAAACAGTGCGTCCTTACCGTATATGAACGCATGTGCCGACTTTGTAGATTGTCTATAATGAGTACTTCACAATAAAAAGAATGCTGTGCCAAAATTAAAGTCGGTGACTAACGTATTCCTGAGGAAATAGAAAACGTTCCTTAAGAAGTTTCCTACATAAAAATGGCTTAACCGTCGCCACCCCCTGCTGAAGACCAAATTCCCACATTCTAGGGTCTGAGAGAACATTGACAAATGTCCCCTGCGAATATCCCTAACGGTCATATTTTTTAGTGTTCGACGGATAAAATCTTCATCCTGTTTTTTGTGGACCGTTTTAATTCAGAATTCTCTCTTCTGGGCACTGTTTTATAGTAAATAATCCTGGATACGGTGGCCCTGCTTATATCAAACATATTAGCTAATGAATTACGCGGCAGCCCTTCGGCTGCCATTTTTCGTAAGCGGACAAAATCACCTTCAGATAGATAATGACTTGACATCTCGACTGCACAGCCCAACACCAAAAAGTGGATGTGTATCGCGCGTTCCCGATTCTATATTAAGCTCACGCTAAAAGTTTATCGCTACGGTAAAACAACTTTGGCATACCAATTTATTACTGCATTTTGTGGCGCAAAACTTCACAGAATAGCAAAAAATATTTTAAACTGGAATTCTTCCTTGTTTCCGAAAATAAATGCGATTCCTTAAACCTAAACTCACTTGCATCCGAACTATATCGGACAAAAATTTCCGGTTCTGGTAGAGATATGTTTCATACCTTTTTTTAATAATTTTGGAGTTCCTCCATAGTATAATACACATTAATAAAAAGTTTGGTTCTGTCATACGTAATAGCATAAGTAATTCCTTCGATATGAGACTACTCTCATTTCCGCGAAAATTAAGGCCATTTCGTCATGTATGTTGCACGATTTTTAGCGCATACCGTATATACCTGTGTGCGTCTAAAACTAGAGATTTTTCATCTATTTGTACAGATTTGACACATTCTCTTGCATTTATAGTGTGACATCTTGTGGCGGACAGCCACAATGCCTATCCCACCTTCGTTCTCCAAGGCTCGCTGCCCCAAAGGCGTGTCGTCACAAGCAATTGTTCCAATGCTTTCTTTCACTGGCAGCCCCGCTCCCCCGAGGCTTGACCTCGCAGCAGCTTCTGGCTAACCGATAACAGCTACGTCAGCGTCCTCCGTTCTTACGCGTGCCGGCGGACCCGATAGTTGACCTCAGCTTCCTCCGTCTGTACACAGGTGCGCACACGCCCGCGTGCGTTCAAATAAGTACTCCTGCCTAAGGGCCACTTGACGAAGACATCTCTCGGCCGATGCAGCAAAGACCTCTACAGACGACCCGCTCGGGCATTTGCAAGAGAGCAATGACAGAACATTTGAACTCGCTTCACGATTATGTAAAAACAACTGTCATCAACCCACACAACACACAGTCGACTGTCTCAGGCCTGGCTGAACGCAGTCAGGACCAGCTCTGGATTCGCCAGTTGCCACTGCCAGCTGAGATAGCAACTCAGGGTTCTGTATACAATAAATTCCTCATTCTGGTAACTCTTGCCTTTTACTTCCAACCTGGGATTCGACCTGATGATTGCAATGATCCGAGTTCAACCATTGCTTAGACCGCTACAATCTAGAGTTGACAATTAACCTGACCCCGACAAGCTTACTGCTGTCAGAAAATAAACAAGATCACAAATGCACAAAAAACCCGTATTGCCCATATGATCTCCTTCCAAATAAGGGCGAAAAGACCGAGCCAGGGTTTGCACAGGGAC